GTTTGAGATAATGTGTTATGGTAGCAATAGGAAACTCATACACATGTCCTCTGGAAAACAGTAGTGCTGACTCAGAAAGCAGAAAGAAACCCCTGGCTGAGCACCCTGAAGCAGTCTTGGCTTGTTGCATGTTGTAATTCGATACAAGTGAAAAACTGCAAAAGAGAATACTAAGAAATCGTAAGCTTGAAATAGTTACTCATATGAAAGAGTAAAATGACATAGTGTATAGCTAAATATGTATCAAAAGAGGATGGGTGAGCAATTGGTTATAAAAAATAATAGAGTAAAAGATTAAAAATATATTCAGAGAGTATAATGTTAAAGTACAGATGCTTTTAATGTTGAGTATTAAATATTGCCAACACTGCCCATCCTTGGAGAATTCTACTTTATTTCTAACTTAAAACTCCATTATCAAAACTTCTGATCATTGAATTTAATCCTAATCTTGGTTAAAAACAAAAAAGAAAGAAGAAATTGGTTGTGGACTTATATAAGACATACAGGTCTTACACAGGAAGACATAACAGACAGGTATTTGTCAACAGCTAGTTAGTTATCCTTTGAGCAAGATTTCTTCTAAATAGTCCCCCAAAGGCAATGTATGATGATGGAAAGTATTTATGTTTTAGAGTCTGGAACTGAATGCTAAATCTAATCTTTTGAGCCATGTGAACTTGGGAAATGTTTTATGACTCGCTTTAACTCCTCTGAAGAATTTATCTCTGTCAAGTTATTGATTGAGTACCTAATATAGAGTAAGGAAAATGCTATCCTAGTTAATTCTCGCAGTAACATTATGAACTAGAAATTCTTTTCCACAGGATCTTTCTACTTCTCTAGTATCTCATGCTTTGTTATTTTGAGGGTTAAGTGAGATAATTGTGAAAAATGACAACAAGTTTTTCTCCTCTCTTTCCCTATCCCAGGGACTTGGGGAAAATGCAGACGTTAAATCAGAAAAGACAATACTTGTCTCCATTCTTTGGATATGTACAGCTACCAGAATGAATAAAATAGGAAAAGAGGTAAGCTTAGTACATTTCCTAGGATTTAGATATACTGGAGATGTCCAGACCCCCTGCAGGACTTTAGCCCCAAGATTGCATCACAGATCATAAAACTCTAGAGCCGTGTTTTTGTCCTGAGTTCACATTTAGAGTACTAATACTGCTTTCAGCAAAAGTCATTTCCAGGGAATTAAGTCCTTGCAGTCAGTGGGTTAAATCCCCAAGAAATAACCTGCAGTGACCCAGTTGCACTGACCTCAAATATAGAATTTCAGATCAATAGCTGCACTACTTGGATTCTGAAATATAAAACAATCTCTTGTGTTTTTGTTACCCCAATGAGTGTTATCAGACAGGGGATCGCTATGGCAATTACAGGTTTTTCTCATATTAATATTTGTGTTTGGTCCAAAAAGAAACTATTTAAAAAAGTAAATGCCTTCTGTTCTTTTTTCTCGGAATATGTAATGATGACTTTCAAACATATAATGAGAATTAACAGTAATTCCAATGGCACAAGTGGTCATTAATTGCTTGTACATGAAATAACATTTCCTCCTCAGAGGGCAAAGCATTCCAGTTGGAAGTAAAATTCCTTTTGGTCTATTCACTTTTAAACTCTGTCATGAAAGGATAACAGATCTCTCAATCTCTCCTAAATAAAAATGTTAAGCCTAGGATTGAGGGTAATGAAAGAGAAAAGGGAAATAATGTTATAGCGACATGAACCGTAACACTGACTGACATGGTGGTGTGCTAGTGTTTGACCAAAGAGCAGAAACCACTTCAAGTATTTACACAAACAGTGGGAATTAATTTGATGCAGGGAACTGGTTACCCATGTGATGAAGAAGCTGAGAGCCCAGTAAGGAAGAGTGAAGTAACAAAGAAAACAGCCCCTGCAGGAAGCTACTACCAGGCTGGACCGGCAAAGAGAGGAGATTCTGCATCACTAGATGGCAGCTGGAACCAGAGCGGGCCTCTCCAGTCAAAGCTGAAACCACGGACAAGATGGACCCTCGGGTAGAGAAACTACCTGAGGCAGGTGGGTGGGCAAGGGAGAGGGGGTGGAGGATCAACCAGCAAACCAGCTGGTCTTTTCCCTCCCTCTCCCTCTGCTCTGTACTTCCAGGGCCTCCACTGGCTGTGGCAGCAGGAAGCCAGCCCTCAAGAGCACCTGTGAAATGTAGCTCGCTGGGGTCAACCCTCCTAGGTTACAGAGCACAGAGTGAGGGGCAGAGATCGGATGGCCGAGAGGCCCAGAGCCAGCATGGACGTACATCTTCGCCATGAATTTCCTTTACCTGGTTGTTTCCTTTTCAAAAGAAGGCCAAGAACTCACGGGCAGGTCTATTGAAAATTGGTTTTACTCCTGATTAGATCATTTTCTCCCTACCCACTACCATACTTCTCATAATGGACCTGTGCGCTCTACAGCTGGTGTTCTTCCCATGGTACCAATTCTTACTTTATCTTTTAAGACTGTGTAGATTTTATAGGAAGCAGTGAGAGGTACAATAAAACCCATCGCCCCTTTGGGGCTGGATATAAATGTCTTTATAGTTTTGAAAGATTTTTTACTCGATTGGTACACAGTGGAGTAAAAATACCTACTCTGGTGTAGTTTTACCATTGCCAAAGGGGGAGTGGCCATTCTCTCATTGCTTAAGGATATTTAAATATGAACTACAACCTAGAGCTGAGTTTAGTTGAGTTTATAACACCAGAACTGACTTCAAGATTCTGCTAAAACACATGGGTTAGTAAACTTATGTCTCTGTCCAACATCTTGACATAGTTCTCCACCATACAACCCTGTTGGTTAGTCCTTCCATTTTACATAGTAAGAAATAATAGGTACTGTTTTGAGTTAGGTGAAGCAAGGCAGTTCGGTGGATTCTCCTTGCCTTAAACAATGAAGGAAAAACTACCTCCTTGTTTCTATATTACATTCTCAGACAAAGCTCAACTGAAGAAACACTGTTAGCATCTGTACGGTATCCTACAGTTTTAAAGGACTTTTCTTAAGCACTATCTCTTTCGTTTTCGCCATAACCCACTTTATACATGTTGCCGAAAACTCTTTCAATAGCCATCTGTCACGATAGCATGCTGCCACTTCAACTCTGCCTTGTTCCATTCTGACTATGCCAGTGTTTCTGAAGTTCTGTTAAGTGAGGGTTGAGTCTACAATAGTGCAGGGATGGTCCTACTCTTTGGAGAAATTCAAAGGACATGCCCTCACATGCCCTCTGAGGGCCCTCTGCTTCCCCTATCTCTCAAGCTAAGGGAATGACTTGCTTTGTATCTTTAGAATCAGGTGAACTAAAGGAAGCTTAAACAATGGGTTTCTATATCACAGCCCTCAAATCAGCACATGTACAGGTATGTTTACAAATAACATAATCCTCACCTAAAAGTCTGGAGGCCGTGATGTGAAATTTGTATGACTTCTTTAAAGATACATAATCGAAATAGGTACTGAAATGCAAGTTTCCTGACTTCTTACCAGAACACTGTGCTAACACTGCCAGTAATCTTTCATGCTCGCCAGCCATGTTCCAAGACAGAATGTCAGAATAAGTTGTTATGGAAATGCATGCTTATTTATTATTTTCTTTATTCCTCCTTTTAAAAAGTTGAGCCTGGGAACCATAAAATACTGTTCTCCTTGAGAAGCAGAAAGCTCATGAAATAAAAAGACAGGGGTTAAGAGGCCCAGCCTCACCTCAAAACCTATCGTTAGAGAACCTGCTGCTATATTCAACAAGAGCAACAATGACAACAACAAAATCCAACGTTGTGAGCACACAAGAGAAAGACCTTGGGGAAATAACTTTGCTATATTCCTCTTGATATCATTTGGTGACCAGAACTTTAAACAAGTATGAAGACTTGTGAAATGGGCCACAGAATAAAGGGCATATTGAGGGGCTGTTCTCCAACATGGGCCCCCCAAACCCCTACGCCCACTAATGGGAACACTGCACACACAGCCATCCTCTATCAGACTTCCTAAACAGAGCAGTTTTTTTTTTTTTTCTTGGAGATTTTTCTCGTTTGGACTTTAATTAAGCTCCTGCAAGGCTTGCAAACTTTTTAATTTTACCTTTCTTTCTTCTTTCTTTTTCCTCCTCAAATCAGCTTTCTTGCCAGGAAACATTTTTTAAGCTGCCACAATTATAGTAAGTGTACCCTAAGATACTAAATTTAGATGTACTAGTAGTTGCTTCTCGAGGCATCAATAGCAAAAGTTTCCTTGCATTTGGAAAGATTTTTATTCATTCACTCATTGATTTACTCATTTTGACTTAAGTGTGTGTGTTCTGAATGCAAAAACAATAGAAAAAGAAGCTTCCTGGAGTGAGTGTACAATGACTACTGGTTAGTATGTGATATAATTCAACCTCCTACAAAGTCACCAGCTTAACCAAAGAAACCTGCCAGTAGTTAATTTAATATCACACTGTTCATAAGCAAATTGTAGCTATTTACTAGTACTGGTGGGTGGAGGGTGACGGAGCCTCGAGAAGGCGATGCCTGAGTTGATGATTTAACACCTCTTTAATGAACCAAAATGAAAGTCACTTAAGTTCTTTTTCAAGACCCTTTTTTACCCCAACTCCTTGCCAATCCCCAAACTCTGAAAGGTAGGTGCTGAGAATGCCAAAGGTGATCCCTTCGAAACTGATTCCGTGAGAAGTTATTTTCATTTGAGGAGGTTTTAGTTGAAAAGCAACCACTCTAAATAGGTTACCCTATTTTTTTTTTTTAAACCAAAAACCAAAATCCAAAACAAAACTCAGATAATATTGCAGGGCCAGAAATAAAAATAAGCCATCAAAAACACAACACAGCAAATGAAACATGTGGAGCGTTGGGGGTCTTATCATCTCCACGATCACTATTCTTGTCCTTGTTGTTTACTTAATAACTCCACGCCACCAGGTTTCTCCACCAAGCGCTCCAGTCTGTGAGGTTACTTACTGATCGCCTCCACAAACCGCTCAAAGAAGCTGTAAGGGAAGAGCGGCTCAGGCAGCTCCCGGAAAAACATCTTCAGTGCTCCGGTGACAACGTGGATGTCCTCCCACTGGCTGTCGTCCAAATTCAGCTTCTCTTCTGGGAAAACACGAGGAGAAATGGAACAACTGGTTTTAATGAAACAATTACAAGACACTAATTATTATGTTAATGTTTGCCTACTATCATCAGCAACCGTTAACAGCCTTCTGCACCTAGAGGTTTGGTGCTGTGCATGTTTTTTTTTTTTTTTTTCCCCTTTTTCCGTAGGAAGGGAACATTTTCAATGGAATACCATCTGTAGGAATGCAGCTAACAAAAAAACAAGAGACACAAAGAGACAGTGCCATTGACACAGTATGTCAGATACATTTATTCCCATAATGCATCAGTATGAAAATTAGCATCACAGCTCAACATGATTCAAAGCTATTTGGTTTTGAGGCCGAGGGGCTAAGAGTTGCCAATGATGGCCGGCTCAAGGGACCGGCCTAAAGGCCTTGCTGAGCCAACAGGAGACATATGCTAAACATGGCAATAGAAAATGAGTTATTGCTTTACATGTGTTAGCCTTGCTATGTACAAGGGAATAATGGGTAACACTTTTTTGCTTTTTTTTTTGCTGAATATAAAGTCAGCAAGGAATAGAATACTGAGTGAGAAAGGATATTAATTCCTTCTTACTGCTTCAAAAATACCTTTTTTTTTTTTTTTTTTTTTTTTAGTTTTCATCTCAGCGAGGAAAATGTGCCCAGCAACAATATTAGACAGACCCCTGTTGGCCTACAGAGGCTATGCAAAACTGTCAAAAATGATAACACACTAAAGACAAACCACAAGTGCTTACCAACTCCGTCTAGAAACAACAGACATGTTTGCTTGGGAAGCTTGAGTGAGTTGAAACATTTAAATACTAAAGAACATAAATGCCAAAATGAAGTTTTTAGAAGAAATAAGCAGACGCTGGACAATTATTTTCTTCTTGTTCGCCCTCAAGAGGAAAGTCTGGAATCATTCTTCCCCAAGAAGTGGATGTGGCAGGGTCTGAAAGGGACATCTTTACACACCACTAAAAGGAAGCAAGGCAGAAAAGCATTGCTGTTGTATTTGTCTTTGTAAGCATGCAACGTGAAAAAGATTTTGAATTCTGGGCTGAATAGAAACTAAAGTTAATCGTTTTAAACAACCTGGGAGGGGGAGGTTAACTGAAAAGCCTGGTACCCTGGCCAGAACTTCACAGGTATCTAGTCCACCGGAATGTTGTTTCTTTCCCGATGTCTTGGGTTCGCATTCACATGCCCCCTTGGTGTCAGTTTTATGAGGCAGAGGAGAAGCTGCACCAAAAATGTGAGAAAAGCTGAGAATTGTCACTGTGGGGAATCTCTGCACGGGCTCCTTTGTTAATAGTGTTCATGTCCTTTTAAAATCTTAGCCAAAATCTTTATCAGATCTCTTTTTCTAAATGGACTACTATCTCCAGGGCTGGCAAGTGACGTTCCTGTTCAATAGGACATTTGCAAAGAGAAGGAGAGAAGGTGCATCTGTTTATTGCAGATGGGCTATTTTCTTCTTCCCTTTCAGTCTTCATTCTTACCTCAGTCATAACACAATAATATGATCCACAACAAAATCAGCGGAGGAGACCTTCTTTCTGCCCTGTAATCATTTTTGATTGATTGTATTTCAACAATTAGTCTTTTATTTGGCTACATACTATTGAAATAGGCCGACAGCATCTTAGCAGGCCAGCTTTAAACAGTCAACTGTTAACAATAGCATCAAAAAGGGAGACCTGATGGGGTTTACTGTCACTTTAAAGAACGGGGTTTTCACATTGTTGAAATCTGTCAGATATTTTGAAATGTCCCTCTCACTATGGTGCCACACCCCCTGCGTGCCCTTATAATAAAATTGGTTTTACTCCTGATTAAATCATTTTCTCCCTACCCACTACCATACTTCTCATAATGGACCTGTGCGCTCTACAGCTGGTGTTCTTCCCATGGTACCAATTCTTACTTTATCTTTTAAGCACTTTGCTGCTAAGATCTCATGCAGAGTGCTTATGTTTTGTTAAGAGCTTCATTCTTAGAGAAATAGCTTAACACATGTTCTAAAAATGTTGTACAACTTATTGCTTAAAACACATTTAGAAAATGTATAAGTACTGTAGCTTTGGCACTGAACTTTAAGTGGAAACCTAAACACACACACACACACACACACACACACGTGTGTTCTCACACACACAACTATCTTTACCAAATATTTATCAGAAAAGTCCAAGACAAAATGCCATTCTGATGCACAGGTTCAAGATTGCCAAAAGGAAGTGTTCAGTAGGTCAAAAAAGAGAGTGGTTTTATCTGGAGCAAGAAAACAACAAGAACAAACAATGGCTTGACCACTGATATTTGGACCCTCCAGATAAACATCAGTTAATTCAAGTGATTGTGAAAATGGGATATTTCAATATACATAAAAAAGAAAATATCAATAAATACCATTTGATGATATGCACTTGAAATGACATATTGATATTATTGACTTGTGTTACTTAAACCAGCATTCCTATTATGTAGTCTTCACTTAAAAAAAGAAAGCAAAACAACGTGTAGCTCTCTACAAGTAGCTTAAATAAATAGTATGGCAAGCAGTTGGAAAGAATCTTTTGAAATATAAAATCTAACTTTTATATTAAATTTTTTCATAACCAACCAAGTTTAAGATTACTTGTAAACCAGAGGGCTTTAAGGAATATTTTCCAGGGCCATTGCGATTTATTGAAACATGCAGTTATGTCCATATACAAAATGAACTGACCATAATTGTAACTTGGTTGTAACACATATCATTATCATATGTGCTGCCGAAGCGAGCACAACAGGTATCGTTATAAACACATTTGTATTATTTGATAGACACTTTATAAATAAACCGTTAGCGGTGGTGACGTCCTATGCTTCTCCCTTTTTTCAACAGAGCAAGGTTTCTCAACAGTAAAGCACTATTAACACTTGGCACTAGATAATTCTTTGTTGTGGGGTTTGTGCTGGGCATACTAGGATGTGTGAGAGCATCAGTAGAAACTTGACATGCTGGAGTCCAGTACTGGGAAGAAGACTGGCTGAATCATGACATCTCGCAATCCTTACTCTGATAATCGTGCTGATTTCTCCTGGCCTTCTAATTAGGTTTTCTTAAATTCATTTTGGTCATGGCTTTTGGCTTAAAGCATGGAAACAGAATTGAAGATGGGTCAAGCTCTAGAATCCAAACACTGTGTGACTTTTATGAGATCACCAAGACATTTATCTACATGTTGGAATAAGGCCATCTTGAAATGCCCTTTCTTGCGGGGTCTTTTGTGTATTTTATTTATTTTGAGTAAGAACATCTATATCAAGCTGATTATATTTGAAAGAAAAAAAATTAGATAATTACTATTAGGAACAGTCTTTCTTAAAATGGAGAATTAAAAGATGCACCTTTGATAGTGACAGCAGATCCTGGTAATTTCCTCGGGAAAAAGGCACGTTTATTAGTTCAATGGCCACTTTCCTCAAATATTGCCCTACAGATTGGTATAAACAGAAGTTGCAATATCTGCTCTGATTTTAACTAAACTCACTGTGCTGATTGAAATGTGACTGCAGATAACTTGAACTATCCAGAAGCGAGTAGTGACATAAGAGTAGAGAGGTACTTCTTTGTGTATTGAAGAGCAAGTGCGTGTTTACCTTGTAGTTTTTTCTAGGCACTTTTAAAGCTTCTTTCCAACTTTCTTTAACTGTTGTAATAAAAAAGAGGAAAAGACACCCCAACTTTCCCCAGGATGTGGGGAGAAGAGCTCTGATTTTATTAATATAGTGAAAAGAATCTATTACATTGTAAAACTCTCATAAAGGATGTGGTATCTGCTTCCAGGGCAGATGACCATTCGGGAACCTTATTTGAAAGGCCCAAATGAAAGAGATGCCAGAGGGACTACCGATCTGAAAAATAATAATATGTTTGGCCATCAAATCAAACTGGAAGATTAGTTATTAAAGTGGATAAGACACACTGTTTATCTATAAGGACAAAAGATGATCGTCAGTTTAGCACTTAAGGGAGTGGATCAAAAGGAAGTTGGTTGAATCATTTGACTAGCTCAACCTTTCCTGTTGTGTTGGCCCCTTAAAGTGACAGTTCAGTGTGATTTCCAGCAGATTAGACAGCTTCCAAATTCTCAAACCCCCCAGTGATGTAAACCCTGTGTCAAAAGTAGCATCCTTCTGCTGCACTCACTCCAGCCCCTTCCTACAGCATCTTGGGACTAACATGAGACTTCAGTGAGGATGTTATTTTAGAGAACTTGACCAAATGGACAGTTAATTTGTTAGTTCAGTTGATTCGTATTGAATAAACATAGATGGAATAGAGACTACATACCGGGGCTGTATTGTGTGCTTTTCAAAGCCACAACTGTTGAAGCTGTTTTATATTCCTCAGAGGAGAGGGTTTCACCAGGTGCTCAGAAATACTATTCAAGTGAATATAGACTAAGTTCTAGACATTTTACATCTTATGTCTGTTCCCTAGAATAAGACCCTATTGATCCTTGCAGACAAGCAAGAACAAACTCCGAGAATAAACATATCACCCCCAAAAATGTGCAGTGTGTCTGTTATGGGCTGACTTGTGTCACCCTCAATTCATACATTGAAGTCCTAACCCCCAATACCTTGGCATGTGACTGTATTTGAAGATGGGACCTTTAAAGAGGTAATTAAGGTAAAATGAGGTCATACTGGGTGCACCTTAATGCAGTATGACTGACGTCCTTGGTCCAAAGAGAAGATTAGGACGCAGACACGTACCGAGGGAAGACCATGTGAAGAAACAGGAGGAAGATGCCGTCCACAAGCCGAGGAGAGAGGCCTCAGAGTAAAGCAACCCCGCCAATACCTTGATCCTGGACTTCTTGCCTTCCTAAATATGAACAAATAAATTTCTGTTGTTTGATCCCACCCAACTCTCAGTCTGTGGTACTTTGTTATGGCAGCCCTAAAAAATGAATATAATGGCCAAAAGTTTGCATAAAGAAAGATGTCATG